AATGATTAATCGCATACAAAAGAAGCTTTTGTTTACATAATATATGTATGTGTACTGTGTATATTTACTACGTATATATAAATACACCCACATGCATGTATATATTTCAGAAACATTGTTTATATATAAATATATTTATAAAATAAATTATAATACTATATATTACTATATTATATTATAATATAATATAAAATATTTATAAAATAAATTATTTACATGTATTGTAAATACATGTAAATATTTTCAAAATATATACTGTATGTGTGTGTGTGTGTGTGTGTATTTATATATACGTAATAAATATACACCGTACACACATATTATGCAAAAAACTTATTTTGGATGCGATTAATCACGGTTAATCGTTTGACAGCACTAATATATATCATATTTTCATCACCCAGCCCTAATTACATTTATCTACACTATAGTCAACATTTGAAGTGGATCAAAAATGTTCATTAAAGCTGTCCTAAGACAAGAACGCATTTTGGTTTTAGGTCAACTTTGATGAAAGGTTTTGATCCACTTCAAATGTTGCCTACTGTATATGCAGCCCTGATTGGTCAGTTCTCAGTCGACCGTCACACTCACGGTGTCTCTGAAGCCATCGTATCTGTAGACGAGTCCGGTGCTGGTGGCCAGTTTGATCCCGTGACCCAGACAGACGCGACGCCACTGGGCCGCAGAGAGCTCAGGGGCCGGGATACTGTCCACCTTCCCTGTTTTGTGGCTTTTATAGACCACAGACTGCTTGCTGAACCTCAGCCGGCCATCATTCTGACAACAAACAGACAGCAATGAGAGGAGAGCATTCAGAGATCATTCCTACGTCACTGCCTTTTAATTTTCTGGACAGCGGTATATCCTCATGTACATTACATACTCTCTGTGCGTTCTTTAAGGTTCACATATAAACACAATCCCAGCATGCAAGTGTCACACGTATGTTTGGAATGGCATTATATTACTGCAGAAAAAAATCTGACAACATTTACAGCACGCAACACTGCAGTAGGAACTGTATTAACAAAAACAGTACTACAGCACTCTGTGTCCTGATTTTAATCCTGTAAGGTCTGACATATGAATAATAGTCAGAAATATCTTTTTTTTTATTTTTTAAATGGAACCATTTGTTAAATCATCAGACAAGATATTAAAGAAAACCTAAAAAGTCTGCATTGTCATGCTTCGCATCATATTTGATACATCAGATTTTATGGCTCATAAAGTACGAATATGGGGCTCAAACTGGAGGAGGAAAAACTGAGCAAAAACATGCAGATGCTGATATTTAGTAAACCGGGCTCGTCACAATTTTAGGAGCACCTTCTAATCAATTATCCAAAATGTTATCAAAAAGTAGCCTTCCCATTACGAGGTAATATTTGACTCCTCTAACTTTATTAAAAGTATGTCATCTTTTGTCAAATTCTTAATTTTTTATTTTATAAGCTTTTTAAAACGACAGAATAAGAGTAGAATAAGAAACCAGTTAAAAATCAAATGAAATCAGTATTAACAAAATTAATCTGTAGAGGTGGCACAGAAGAACACAAAAGTGCCTTGATGTACTTTCACACTTTTCATTTAATGAGGCTCAGAGGTGGCAAGAGTGCAATTAAATCCATAAATTCATGATGAGATTAATGTTTTAAATATAAAATTTTGAATATAGAAATATTAAATGATTTAAATAACTGAAAATATACTTTAAAAATGAAACAAACTGCCAGCAGGTGGCAGCAAGTCACTGATTTTATCACTGAATCATTCATTCAATTGATTCATTCGAACGGCTGATTCATTCAGGAACGAAGCAAGTGACTGTCTTTATGAATGGGTAATCATGAATCACTGACTCACTAGATTCGTTTAAAAACGCAGTTCATTCATAAACTAAACACCGCTGTGTTTGAATGGAGATGCGCAGCGGCTCCGCTGTGTCTTTGTTTTTAAACTATTTTCAACGACGAAATAGAGCAAAATCAGACCATGGTGTTATAGTCAGACAATGTAAGTCACTTAATATTAACTTCTTGTTTATTGAACTGTTGTATTAAATCAGTATCACATTTACAAACTCCCTTAAACATCATTAAAAGCTGTCACTCATCTTAGTTCATCGCAATCTCACAATAATAATCAACGAAGCTCTCTACACTGCGCAATGAATCTCTTATTTACACCCGGTCTACACTTTGCTTATGAAAGGATTCGTGAGATATGTCTGTGATGCATTACTCAATGCTGCAAAAACACGTAGAAACCTTTGAAGCTCCCCTGAGCGCAATCACAAATATGATGATGATCAGTCGCACTGGTGCTCCTAAAATAAATTTCACAGTCGCACGCAGTAGTTTTCATTCGCAAATGCGACTGAAATGGTCGCACTGTCGAGCCCTGAAATTAAATTCTGACCGTTCAAAATGTAAATCAATGACATTTTATAACAAAATGTATATAAATAAATCAGTCGTCACTCTATATCTCAATAATGTCTTAGCAAGATGATATTTAAATTATCAGTTTTATGATCAAAGATCTGACATTTTTATTGTGGGGGCAAAACAATGCAAATATTTACATTTAGTCATTTAGCAGATGTTTTATCCAAAGCAACTTACAAATGAAGACAATGGAAGCAATCAAAATACAACAAGAGAGCAATGAAGTCTCAAAACCAAAGAGATATTCTTTATCAAAGTTAAGACTCTGCCACGCCCCCCTAAAACGGCTCGTTCTAACACGCCCCCACATATCTACCTCACTATGTGGAAATATTTGCATAATGCACCCAAATGTGCACGCAGAGAAAGAAGGCGTGGTTTCAGTAACGCAGTTAGTGTTGAAGCAGCATGTCAGGGAGACGCGACCTTTCGGGCTTGAACTGATGGTAAAACTCATGACATTATTTACTGTCTTCACATTTATTTTGAAAGATTAAGCTGCGATTATGGTAAGGGGCGTTACATTTCCGACGAGTGCTTGCGGTGTTCAGCCAATCACAATGCACTGGGTCAGCTGGCCAATCAGAGCAGACTGCGCTTGTCGGAAGGAGGGACTTTGTAGAAAACGAAGCGTTTGAGAGAGGCGGGGCATAGAGGACCTACAATAATGTACAGTATTTGAAAAAGAATGTGTTTTTTGAACATTAAAGCATGTCAACATATTCTGTTACACCAAATACACCAAATAATGATCTTTTTAAAAAAAATGCATCTTATGACCCCTTTAATTTTTGTCTGGCCAGTCGAGGTGAAGTCAAACTGCGACACCTAGAGGTCATTTTAATGTTAGCCAGTTTATGCGTTTAATAAATAATAATAATAGTACAAATGAATCCATACTTTAGTGAAAGTTTAGCATCGCCTAACTTACCCACGATCCCTTCAGCTCTGTGTGAATGTCATTAAACTCCAGCGTGTCTCCCATCTCTGTAAACAAACACACATCAACACAGAGGCACAACATTAGCATCGCATTCACAACGAGTTAGTCTCGCTCTGAAGACTTGCACTCACTTCAGAGCTGCACTATCACTAATCACACTCCTTTAGCATCTTCGTGCGCTTAAAGTAGCATTCTGTGCTGTAAGGGCTGGGTTACAGAGAGTAGTTTGTGAATCTGAGGCGCTAGCGCAGCTAGAAATGCTAAGCACGCTAGACGAGTTTAGCGGGGTTTGAAACACCGCCGCACGTGCAGCGAGCGCGACTCCTTTAACTTCATCAGTAAACAATACACACTTATTCTGACACTTACTTTGGGTGAAGAGCGACTTTATAAATAACAATAGCCGTGTTTCCCGGAGGTGAGGATATTCGATGTAACGTTAAACACAGAGATAACTTCGACGATCGAGCTCTTCTTCTACTCGCCGGTTTCCCGCGTCAAGCCTCCGGAACCGGAAGTAGTGTTGAGGAGACACGCGCGCACGTTTTCCTGACTCGCGTTTCAATATTTTTATTATTATTATTATTATTATTATTTATTCAGATACGCCAAAAAAAAAACAACTAAGCGAATTTAAAAATGTATTTGAATATTAAAATAAAGTTTGTATTTATTGTCTCTCGTGTATGTGTCTTTTTCCTTACTTTGTTTTTAATTGTCTCGCAGTGGAAACATATCAAATCTATATTCCTTTAACCGAAAAAGCAATGTTTATTTTAAGTTTATTATATATATATAATGACCGTAAACATAGGCTAATGAAATAAAAACATACTAACTAAATATCTTAAAACATGTTTAAAATGGTAAAATGTGATCATGTTAACATATTATTATTAATTGCATTATTATGTTAAAATACATCAAACATATTATTATTAATATAAGCTATTAATATAAATAATAATTAATTAAATTCAAAATATTTGAATATGAAAATAAAGTTTGCATGTATTGTCTCTCGCGTAGGCTATAGGTGTTGTCTTTAACATTGTGTTAATGTATAGTTCATTTCTAAAATTGTTTTTTTTGTTGTTTTTTTTGTCTCGCACTGGGGAGAAAAATACAATAAACCTGACTTTGGATTTTCGCTTCTGCTTTTAATAAAACAATAGCTATAAACATATACAGTTAAAGGTAAAATAATCTTTCTAGGCATTTGTTCCCGTGTATTTGAGTCATTATCAGACATGGTTTGATCCCGGTGTTAAACAGCAGAGGACGCCCTTCATCCGCTCAAGCAGCATCTGACAGCAGATCAATCAAACATCACAGGCTCGGAAGAGTTATGCAATAATCCCAGTGTTAATCCTTCCTCTTCTTTTAATGCCACGCGGTGAAATGAAGCGCTTATCCTCTCAGCACGCCTCTGAAATAAACCCACGCATGTGTGTTAAACACACAATCTCAATAATCTCACTGTCAATAAAGGCAATACCGGAGGAGTGACGCATAAACGAACGCATCTGAACGGAAACTAAATGAAAATGCATCGCTGGAAAGGTAAGGCATGAGCGACTTGGGCTTTTCACTGTTAATTATATGCATTTATTATTATTAGGCCTATTATTATTAGCTAATTCAGATCAGATAATTATAAAATTTAATTAATATATTTGGTCCGAGTTTTTCTCAGAGCTTTAAATCCTCAGTAGTTTTTTTTAATTGTTTGTGTGCATGTAATTTTATTTGCAGAGTGATTCAAGCATATGAATATTTGACTCTTCTAAACTATTTCAAAAACTCTCAAATCTGTCAAAGACTGCTTCTATGAAAGACTGCTTTGAGAGGCCTAACAATCGAAGTAAGTCCATTTCGTTAAAGTGAGTTAACGGCACATGTTTAGTTCAGATAGCTTTAAGATTTCATGGCAAGTAATCGATTGAATTGTTGCCCTAAAAGTCTCCTGAAATATTTGTATTTGCATATAGCCTACACGCGGGCGCGAGACTGATAATAACTTATTTAAGTATATAAGTAGGCTTTATCCGATTAAAATGAGTACTTTTTAATGAGATAAGCAAATTGAGTTTATCCACTTTTTATCGACTTCAATGAACATGTTAGGCCTACGTGACGAAGAAGAATGTAAAGTTGGATAACAGAAATACACATTTTAGGTTGTTCTTAAAATAGTTTAAAATTATATTATTTTAAACAAATATTTATAGTCAGAGATTTTCACACTAAAATATCAATTTATAACAAAGCATTTCCTAAAATATCAGAGTTAAAGCAGGAAACGTACTCACATATTGGTGAAAAATCTGAATGACACGATAGTTTTTATTAAACTCTCACACACTTGTTAATTTCAGAGAGCAAAATATAATTTATGAACCTTTCAAACAGAAGGCTTTTTCAAAAGTTTTTTCACTATATTTGTGGGCACATTTTCATAAATCTGCTCCTCACATGCAAGCACAGGCAGACATATGCATATAAGACGAGTTATTCTTTGGTTCATAGGGCAAACTCACCCGTCTTGTTAACCGACACTGATATGAGAATGTACATGATTCAAGTTATCCAGGGTCTAAACACACACACACACACACACACAGCATCTGTCTTCAGGGAGCCATGCATGTCTGTGAAAAGGAGGAAGAGTGTGTGACGAAATGATGCGATTTACGCCTGAACAAAGCAGCAGAGCAGTCTGTCACGCTCACACACACACACACACACACACACACACACACACACACACACACACACACACACACACACACACACACACACAGAGAGAGAGAGAGAGAGAGAGAGAGACACACACATTCTCTTTTCCCCATTACAGTTCATTTTGTCCCACGTGCATCTATCACAGCAATCATACACAGCCAAAACTGCCAAAAACACTCAAACTCACACAGATGATTTCAGAAAAAAAGCCCCAAACCATTAACATGTCACAGAGCCCTGTGCATTTGCATTTTAATTCAGGCAAAGATGCAGACAAGACAGTCAGTTTAGGGAAGAAGAGAGAGAGAGAGAGAGAGAGAGAGAGAGCATGTGTGTATAAGCGAGGTGGAGGGATGAAGAGCTTTAGGAAGTGCAGGGCTTAAGGAGAAAGAGAGAGATGGAGTGATGGAGGAAAGGAAAGAGGGTTAACGCAGCCCAGATTCCCTCTAAAAGAAAAAGGAGCGAGCGAGCACAGGGGAATGATATAAAATGAGTTGGTCACGGTTTGAACAGTTACACATGCTGTTTACATTTTTCCCAAATTAACATGGCCCCTCGCTTCACCAAGCCGCTTTCGCTCTCCCACTTCTTTCTTTCTTTCTTTCTTGCTTTCCATCTCAAACTGTTTGAGTTCCATATTTGATCTTCCAGACTGGACGTGCAGATAGCTGCTCTTCATTCTGTTGTATTTATTTTCAAGAGTTGGACAAAGTTAAATGAGAAACTTGAGTCAGAGAGATGGGAGACTGGCGAGGGGGAGGGAAGAGATCACTTAAAAAAACAAGAGTGAAAAAAGAAAGATAATAAAAGCGGTAGAGATATAGTGCATCGGAACTGAACAGAAAAAGTTGAAATTTGAAAAAAGCATGAGAAAAAAGATCAAAGATAATTGTATGTGAACTCTTAAAAATAAAGGTTTCAAAAGTTGTTTTTTTTGCAGTGATGAACCATTTCGGTTCCCCAAAGAACCTTTCAGTGAACAGTGCTTTTTTTTATTAGTGTGAAGAACATTTTAATAAAGTAAAACATTTGGGGCAATAGAAAGATTCCAGAATTTGTTAAAGGTTCTTTAAGGAACCATTGATAAAATAAAGAACCTTTCAGTGAACAGTGCTTTTTTTTATTAGTGTGAAGAACATTTTAATAATCTAAAACATTTGGGGCAATAGAAAGATTCCAGAATTTGTTAAAGGTTCTTTAAGGAACCATTGATAAAATAAAGAACCTTTCAGTGAACATTTTCTACTATAAACAATCTTTTGTGAAATAGAAAGATTGATAAAGGTTCTTCATGGAACCATCAATGTCTTCATTTTGTAGAAGAACCATTTTTGATTCCCCGAAGAACCTTTCAGTAAACTGTTCCTAAAAGAGCCATTTTTCGTAGAGAAAAGAAAATGTTAGAAATCTAAAGAACATTTTTTATTCTACAAATAATCTTTGTGTACTCTAAAATGTGATTTATTTATTTATTTTTATATTTATTTAAGCGTGTAATATCAAGAAAATTGTTAAACGTTCATCCATCAATGTCAATAAAGAATCTTCATTTTATAGAAGAACACCTTTCATTGAACAGTTCTTAAAAGAAAGATTTTCCGTCTTTTTTTATTTAATAATAAGGAACCTTTTTCTACTTTTTTTCCCAGGTTTTTGCACAAAACCTTTTGTGCAATTGAAAGATTCCATAATTTGGTTCTTCGTGGAGCCATCAATAAAATAAATAACCTTTCAGTGAATTTTCCTAAAAAGAAGAACTTATTAATAAACTAAAGAACATTTCCCACTAAAAACTCTAACTTTAGCTTCTTTAGATTATTAAAATGTTCTCCATACTAAGAAAAAAAAAATTATTTTAGGAACTGTTTGTTGAAAGGTTCTTTAGGGAACCTAAATGGTTCTTATGGCATTTCTTATGGAAAGCTTTTTTGTAAAGAACCATTAGTGCAATGGAAAGATTCCACGGATGTTAAAGGTTCTTCGAACCATCAGAGCCAATAAGGAGCCTTCATTTTTAGACAGAAAGTTCAGGGAAAGTGAGGATTTTTCTCCTAGCACAGGTTTTATTGTCCATTCCTTCTTTGTTCTGAAGGTTTTTGGCAAAGCAGACAACATTTCAGGCCAACCTCCATCCATTTAAAATTCAAACTAAATATCCACAGGGAGATTGAAGAGTGTGTGTCGCCTTGTAGAGATCACGGAGTGTGTGAATGAGACATCTAGAATCGCCGTGACAATCCATCATGTGTGTAAAGATGCATTTATATTCTAACATCCATCTAGTGCCATGCATGTGTGTGTGTGTCTAGTCAGTGAAGGAATGCACGTTTGATTGAGTGCAGACTGCACATAAATCTCTACTTAACTGTACACAGACACACAACATGACCCTGACCCCCTCCACAAACACACACACACACACTCGCTCATGAATATGAAAGACTAACCTCTTTGTGCACCGAACTGACCAGCCCATCATATGGGCAATATAACTTTATATGATGTGATAGGAGGGAACATGTTTTATGATATTGCACCATAATGCAGAATTCTTGGTATTGTTGACTGGAGCCTCGGAGCATCGTCTGTTTAGTGTTAACACAGAGGCAACAAATCAGTCAGAAGATGGAAGGCAAGAGGCTATACGTGTGCATGTGTGTGAGACGGAGAGAAAGACAGCGCAACTGACTGATATACCGATTTGACATCATATCATTGCTGCCAGTTGCAGGACACACACACACACACACACACACACACGCAGATCCGTCCTAATGAAAGCCGCTGTTATTCAATAAAGTCGCGGGGGATTTGTTTCAGGGGTTATGTAAATATGCCAGTGCTCTGTTTTTGAGCTGTTGTGCTCACATCCAAATAAGCAACAAGAGAGAAGAACATTCTTCATGTGATTCTCGATAAGATCTACTATGCCATGAGAAAAATTGCAGTTCCCGAGTCAAAAGAGTTTAACTGTGTGTGTTTGCTAAGAAACACCACTTTTATCTGTGCTCAAACCCATAGATAGTAAGCTTAAGAAAATGTTGTAAAAATAACATCAAATCGTGCTGATTGTTGTGGAGATGCGTGCTGCGACGTTCATTCAATGACTTTGGATTTTGGACATTTTCTTTTGAAAACTCTTTGGAAAAAGTCTACAAAGGATGTCATGATGATGTTATTGGTATGTGCGTGGTGCCTACTTTCATAAGAAAGAAAAATAAAAAAAATGAGATCTCTTCAATATCTCGGTTGTATCTGCCTCTCCAGTTGTTTTCAGAGAAAAAGAGCCTAAATATTCTTAAAAATGAAGGTTTAAAAACTGGATGATTTTTGGTTCCTTCAATAACCTTACAGTGATCAGTTCTTAAAAGAACCATTATTAGTGTGAAGATTTAAAGAATCTTTCTCCACTATAAAGAACCTTTTGTCCACTGACAAGGTTTTATGGATATTAAAGGTTCTTCATGGAACCATCGATGGCAAACAAGAACCTCAATATTTAAGTGTAATCGATTCATCTTTGATTTTTTTCTCAGAAAGTTTCAGAAGAGATCTCAAAGACGCTTGAAACCAAGATACCAGAGCCTGCGATCAAAATCCAGAGAAAAAAAAAATTCTCAGCAAAGTTTTGCAAGCGGCATAAATCAACGTTATTTTAAAGCTCTCAAACTCTTAAAAATAAAGGTTTAAATTTTTTTTTTTGCAGTGAATACCATAGAAGAGCAGTTTTGATCTCCTTTCTTAAAAAGAAGCATTTATAAGAGCATTTGAAGAACCTTTTTCCACTGTAAGGAACGTTTTGTTCAAATGGAGAGATGTTAAAGGGTCTTTATGGAACCATTGATGCCAATAAAGAACCTTTATTTATATATTACACGTTAGCAGTTGTCTATTACCATTTCTCTGTGGAAATATACTAGCAGAAACATTTGAGACGATCTTAATGCTTTAATGAAACAATACAGAGTCTTCTGAGCTCTGAAACCTTGGGGCAATAAAAAGTTCCTCAGGGTGCTCTTATCCAGTTATGCATTGGAACAAAAGACAGTTCAAATAAGAATAAGATGTCAGTCAATGTTTATAAGACTTTAATGGAAGATTTCAGTATATCTGTTGTTTTTAATGCTGCGCTGGATCAGGATTTTGGAGATGCACTGCTAAACTCTTCCACACCCTGCTACTGATCTAACACAGACTCTTGGGCGATTACCGTGACCTTGGGTTGGGGAAAAGGTGTGTCAGGATCGGTGTGTGTGTGTGTGTGTGTTTCAGGTAGAGTATTAGATGAGAAGAAGAATGAGTGCATTAGAGAGAGAAAAGAGAGGAACAGCTCTGAAAAGAAAAACTGGCGGGGCTAATCAAGGTTAATAAGCTGTTGTTATTTTGGCCGGGGGCAAAAAAGAGATAAACCACTTTAAAGAAGGGGAGGAAACTTAGGCGTGTGTGAGAAGATCAAAAACAACCTGGAAAACTTGACAGGGGGAATATGAGGGGAAGGAGAGAGAAACAATGTGTGACAGCAAGGATTGAGGAAAAATGAACGTGAGGTTCAAGAAGAGGAGACGAACAGAGATGAAAAGAAAAAGCAGAGGGGAGGAGGCGCACATATTTCACACCTGTTGAAAACACAATGCCTCAAACAAGTAATTACACATCTCTGCCTTGTTCCTCTGAATGCATGACACAAAAAAGAAAGGGAACAGAGACACGATGTGCGATGTGTTTGTGCCGGGTGACTCCCCGAGGCTCACACACACTCATAATAGGAGCACTGCGTGAACCTTTCGCGTTCGTTCAGAGGTTCGTTCTCATTTGCTCCCATTTTCCCAGTGTGATTTCTGGTGTGAAAGGGTCTCTGGATGGGCACATTCACACACACACACACACACGCTCAATACCCAATGCAACAAATGCACTGGTCTGTGTACAGGCATGTATATGCACATAATCCAAAACAGAAACCTACAAACACACACACTCCAAAACAAAAACACGTCCCAGAGTAGAGGACCACACACACACACTCACACCCCTGAGCTCAAAAAAAAAGAGAA